TGTATATTATCCTGCACAATATCTATGTCAGCGCTTACCATAAAAAATTTCATTTCATAGACTTCAGGCTCTGACGCAGACTCTAACTCTACTTCGTAAGAGCTAACTTTCTCCTCAGGGAAAATTATGTGTTTTTTAATCTATTTCATCTTGAATCTTATTTCTAAATGTTATGCAATCGCTAGTATTATGAGTAAAAGCGTCATGCCATTTACAATAATTCTTTCCTTTAACCTCATCAAGAATTCTAATTTTATGCCTCCCTACTAACTTAATCTTTTTATGACCCAAAAGCTCATCACATCTCCTAATGTCGAAGGTGTATTCTCACTTTTGATCAGATTTTCAATCTTTATTATAAGTGAACTTCTTATTAGTTAAAGGAGGACATTTAAATGAAGGACCCTGTACAAATTCAACTATCGCTTCCTCATACATGTCATCTTTTTTATCACACTCTCAGCCATACTAGCATAATACTTATGTTTAGATCTAGAATCTTCTTCTAAACACCTCTCATAAGCCATTACAGCGTTAGACAAATCAACAAAATCAGGGAAATACTGTCCTTCAAACTTTTTCCTAAAAGGAAAGGCCAAACCCTTTTGGACGATAGACACGAACTCTGATTTTGGTATATTTAAATGACATCTAATCTTAGCATTCTTAAATCTGTGAATGTAATCTCCTACAGGCTCTCCTTTTTTCTTGTACTATCTGGGCCAAATCACCTATAGTGACCCTTGCTTCAATTCTAGTGAAATGGCGAAGAAATTGTGTTTGCATATCTTGCTAATTTTGAATTGAATTTGGTGGAAAGTGAGTAAACCAAGAAAAGGACAGTACTAGTAAGAGAACTGGAAAACATTCTAAACTTAAGGAATTCATTATCTGCCTCCTCTCTATACTGATAGTTGAATCTAACTAAGTGTTCCTCAGCAGACATTGTACTGTCGCCAGAGAAAAGAGGGGAGAATTCAGGAACATTTAATCCTCTTGGGAATGGATACATCCTGTCAATCTATTCAGGATATGGACTGTAGGTTCCCTTTTAACATATCCACCATTCTGGCCCTCTAGATCATCTCCTCCACTTGTCTGAGCAGGGGTTCCTATCCCATTTGTGGAGTTGCCCTAGTATTGGACCATTAGGTTGAACTGGTGTATCTTGCATATGAAAGGGATTATGTTGGTTCCCTTTAGAATTGGGGAAACCCCTATATCCAATGCTTGTCCCTCCTAATGCATTAGGATTAGGTTGAGACATTGCTTGATATCTTTCTCCACATGAACCACTGGCTTGACCCTGGTTCCATGAGGAACCTTGTGTAGGGTGGACAGAGTTTGGGTATCGATGTGGATAATGGTTATAATTCCCATTTTGTGTTAATGATTGTTGACCATTCATGCCAATAGGTTGAGAGGACATCCTTTATGTAGATGCAGCAGCTTGTGTGTGGCATGCTAGATCTGGCAGATTTCCAATACCATAGTTGGCGTAATTGACACTAATCTCTGCTCCCAAAGGAGGTATGTTACCCATTAAAGAGGTTAATGGGTGTGTGGTAATTGGTGGAGGAAAGGAAGAAGAAGATGGACCCTAGCCATTATGGTTATAGCCTAACTCATAACCTGGCCCTGAACCATTAGCTCTCCCTTGGCTCATATACCCCTCATTAGAACCAATTGGAGGGATACTTCTTGGAACTGAAAGAGGGAGCGGATTTGCATGAGATCTTGTCATATTTTCTACTCTAGGATATCCCAATGGGACGTTATCCCTTTGATTTCCTTCATTAATCCCATTACCTAAAGCGGTTAAAACATTCATCAACTTCTCATTAAGTTGATTATGTTTCTCCACTAAAGGTTCAAGCCTTGTAACCACTTTGATTGCTACACGCTTTGATAATGCCACCTTAGTAGCGTTAAGAGTATCACTAATATCTAGAAAAATCCTATCTACCTGGTAACCGCTTGTTGTCTCAACTTGACAGTTACCACTCTAGCGGTTTCTTCGACCATGACACAATAGTAGTTATCAAACTGCTCTATTATTTTCTTTTAAATCCTCTATCAGTATCTTCACAATTTCCATGCATTTAGTGTAAATTGTGTTGAGTAAGTGTTTGGTAGGAGACTGGCTTTCTATTCCTTCCAAAAACGATTCATCTTGCCTTTGTGTATGAGGCTCGAATTGTTCGAAAGGGTGTGCCAGATGCTCTATTGGCAGTTGATTCTCTAGATCTGGTAGATCCTCTACAATATTTTCAGGATTGTGTTCAGATGAATTAATATCTTTCCGAGTGTTTCCTTTACGTGCTGAACGCTTAGGAGCCATGGGAAAAACTTCCAAATTAACAAAGTTAAATGGATTAAATCTAGTTTTCTCCCACTGTGGTCGCTAAAAAACTTGTTGAGGTAAATATTGCTCTTTACCAACAAATTAAATACTTTATCTTATTCTAGAGTATTAGGGGGCTGCCACTCGAGTTACCGGTTTCAAAGATTGATAACCTTGCTAATGTTAAACAAAACAATAAGAGAGCTTTTCCAAAGGAAGTAAAACAAGTTAGATTGCTCAAAGAAATGAGTAGATAAACATATGACGAAAGATACAAATGAATTCCATTAATTAAAAGCTAAAGTCTGGTCTACAATTGTACAAGTTGAAGGAGAGGTTACCTCCATGGTCATACAATTGGAAAAGATGAACAATCTTCAATACATGCTACGTGCTAAACTATACTATCGCTTGGCTACTTAGCCAAGGGAAACTACGAAAGCAAAGAAGAAAGCTTAAAAGAAATGAAATGCTTGTTGTTGATTGATTTGCTGATGCCTTTCTTTCTATCCTTGCACTTCTATTTATAGGCAAAATGGAGCGGTTATGGTTGACTCCCATAACTGTTGTACGGTTATGCTTCTTGGCGCCAACACTATTTCAAAAATTAAAATTACCCATTAGCCTCTGGTCCACCTGTTATTGAGCCTCTACGTCATATCAGCCCAGCTGCTGTTATGTTTTATCAAACTAGCCCAAAGACCTTTCACTAACTCTAAAAACTTCTCAACTCGGTCAAAGTCAAGAAAGTCAAGCAAAAAGTCAAAAATTTGATTTTTGGGTGTAACATCACCATTATTTAATCAATTATTATCCATTTGTAATATTGCTTAAAAAATCCTAACAAACTCTATCCACATTTAACAACTTAATTTGGATAATTATCAAAATAACAACTTTTGAAATTTTATTTTATCCCAAAATAAATAAAACAATTTATTTATTTATTTATTTATTTTTTAAAACCGACCGTACCACCGCCAGCCACCTTGGTTGGCTAGACGAAGCTAGCCACAGTGGCTGGGCGCTTAACCAGCACCCACTGCCTTACGGTAGTAGCAGACAGCAGCAGCAGCTGTAGCTGCAGGCCACCATGCGTGGCCAGCCAAGGCTAGCCACGGTGGCTGGACACCGCTAGGTGTTTACTGCCTTGCAGCAGCAGCAGCTACGGCAACAGCGTGCAACTATTGCACGGCTGTTGACCTACCGAGTTGGACCACCTGGCCTACCTCCCCTCCCTCTCGGACTAACACCCCCGGTCGGTAGCCACCGTGGCTGGCCACTTTTAAATTGCGTTTTTGTGTTTTTAATTTAATTAAAACAACTATTGTTAAAATTAAATTAAATTAGTCCAAGAATTAAAATTAAATCCTAATTCAATTTTAAAATTTAGGGTTCTTCATAAAATTAATTCTAACTCTTAAAATTAAATTGTTGTTCATACATAAAACATTTTTATGTATAATTTCAACCTAATTAAAATTATGAAGCATGAATCAAATCAAATTTAACCAAAAACACAAGCAAAATTTAGGGCTAAAATTTTCAGGAATTCTGAATTTAGGGTTAGGGGTTTGAAATTTTTGAATCAATTAGGGCAAAAATTCGGTCCTTCCTAGGGTAATTTGAGCAATATTAAATCATATTTAATCAATTCTAAACGTTAAATTGCATTTAAAATAATAATTGATCCATAATTAAATTAGTCTCCCTCTTAACTGATTAAAATTGTGGACATCAAAGAATAAGATCAATATTTTTTTTGGTATTCCACCCGGTTCACCCTTTGGGCTAATCGGGATTCGAGGATCAGTTCTGAGTGGTTAGGTTCCATTCCCCTCCTAATTGTTGTTTTGGGGGATCGAACACGTGGTCCTCCCCACCAAGTGTAGTCCCAATCACCACTACAACAATATCCAATTGGTACAACAAGATCAATATGCGTACATGCATTAGGCTAGCTAATACCACTGTAGGGATTTAGGTACTCTAAGCGGAATTTCATGAATTATATTGATCCGGAATTGATCCTTGATCAGGAACTCGTGTAAGCCAATGAGTTTAGTGGTCAAAGTGGTCCAAACAAACCGTCAAGGGTGCAAGAGAATCAAGTTCCTATTGTCCATTTAAGGGTCTAAAATTGACAATGTTACACGCATAGGCTTTAACGTGGCTCCATCTTTGTACAAGTCATGCGTGACTTAGATGGATGAGTAAGAAAGGAGTTTATTTGCCTTGGACGCCTTAGATATTCTTCATGAGCATTGGGGAGGAATATTCCTTCGCATCAATCTGATTTGAAGACAGCCAAGTCAAGGGTTACACACGGTTTTAGTGTGCATTCAAGAGGGGCGTTACTCACTTGTTTGCACTAGTAGAAAAAATGAAATAGGCACCGCACTTTTCGCACTGGTTCTTGAAAACCGGTGGGAAAAGAAATGGGCGGGATTGGGAAAAAGACTTTTCGCACCAGTTCCTAATAAATCGGTGCGAATTAAAAAAGAGAAGAAAAAAAAGGGGGAGAAAGGGATTTCGCACCGGTTCAGTCTAAACCGGTGCGAAATAGTGATTTAGCACCGGTTCAGTCTAAACCGGTGCGAAATAGTGATTTAGCACCGGTTCAAACCGGTGCGAAATTTAAAAAAAAAAAAACCGGGCTCGCGTATTTCTTCTTCTTCCTTTCTTTTCCCCTGCTTTTCCATCTTCTTTTTTCCCTCGTTCTCGCCTTCTCTTCCACCACCTCCGAATTCCCACCTTATCCATTGAAGCCGTTTATGAGCTTTCTCACTCCATTGAAGCAGCCGCACCTCCTTCTCTCTCCATATCTCTCCTCCATTGAACTCGTGCTCTTTATTCTCCATTGAAGCGGATTCTGAGCTTTCTCACCTCCATTGAAGCAGCTTCGAGGTATGATTTTTTTGTGGTCTTCTTAATCTACCGAATTCCTTCGCAATCTAGGGTTTGTCATTGATTTGGTTTTCAATTTCGTAATTTTAGGGTTCTGGTAATCTAAGGCTTGTCATTAAAGCGCGCACGGCTCCACCTCCACCACAACCGCCTCCTTGTCACGGCCGCACGACCTTCTTTTTCTAGGGTTTATCGTCAATTCCCCCCCTTTTCTTCGATCTCCTTCTCCGCCACTGCGCCGCAAGCGTTTCCATCAATGGCTAGGGTTTTCAGAAACTAGAGTTTCTGAATTGTGATAAACACCAATGGAGAAAACGACATCACAGTACAGGTATATACGAATATTCTTCTGCTTTCTCATTTTAATTAATCTGATTTCCTCAGTCTTGAATGTCATACATAATCTCATTCAAAATTTGCTTAATTTTTAGCTTTATGAAACCGTTAGCCTTTTCCTTTCTAACAAACATATTGTTCAAGGTTCTTTTAGTTTAATTTTTTTGAGATCTTAACTTGTAATTGTTAGAATTAATACTCCGTACTCAAAACTGATGGATTACTGGTCCGTAATTAAAAAGAATTGATGAGTTTATGCACTTTTGTTGATGTGTTTATTGCTGTTTTATTTTAGGTTGTGTTCTCTTGCCCTTATTCTTACAGAGTATTAATTATTCTAGTTCAAATTAGACCACATGTCCACACTAAAAAAAGTCAGACCACACCAGAAAAATTCAGTTCAGAAATATAAGGCAGTAGAGATTGTTTCACCTTTTTGAAGTTTGATTTGCCAGGGTTTTAAACTTTCAGTTCATCATTGTAAGGTCTAAATAGTAAAGCAATACCTTTCACTTAATTACAATCTTCCTACTTTTTCTAGTAAAAGATCAATTTTATGTTTTTACAGTTCCACTTTCTTCCTTTTCATACTCAAAATGGCTGGAATTCAGTTGGTTATCTATATGTACTTGTTGTATTCTCATATATAATCTGTTTTTTTTATTCATCCAGTTCTGTTTTCTACTGTATTTTGTGGAAGCTGTTCCTGAGGCGCAGCTTCAATCTGAAATCAGCCCGTCTTCTACAAATCTACAGGAGTTTACTACAATTTAATAGAAATTGAGAAAAAAAGTCGGGCAACTATGAGGTACATCACTTAATAGTTACTCCCTTTGTTTCCTGTTTCAGTTGCTTTATTTCTTAAGAAATCTCATAATCGTTTTCTTAATCTTCGTTCGATATCCTCTTGTCTAAGAAACGTCCATTAAATTATTTCATTATGTACAGTTTTCCCAAGGATTTTCCCCTTCCCAAAGGCTGATAAATTATGCCATAAATTAATAAAATATTTAGTATCCTAAGTTTGATGGTTTCCGTTTCAAGGTGATGCTGATAGCACAACATCTTTATTTAAGATTTTAAGTTAGTTATTTTGTAAAACAAAAACTTATAAGTAATTATTTGTAAAAAAAAAAAAACAAAAAAAAATGTGTTATAAAAGGTAGTTCTTCACAAATTTTATTGTGGATTATGAGGCTATGGCAATGAAATAATTTTGCTATGAATGTTCTTTTATCCTACTTTATTACTTGAATCTTTCTCTGACAGTAACAATGATTACTAGTTTAATGAGTTAAACATGGAGAAATATCATATTTTTTTTCTATTTAATTTCATTCCATGGAGGTATTTCTAGTTAAACATGGCCTGATTATTGGTCAATTTTCCTATTTCAGGACTCTATTATACTGATATATTTAAAGAAAACAAGAAGGACTAGTACATTCAGAAGATAGGCAAGAGAGATTATTTTACCCTTCTGAAGTCTTATTTGGCAGGGTTTTGAAGTATAAGTTCATCATTGTAAGGTCTGAATAATATATATAAAATGGCTGAGATTTTTTATTTTTTGTTACTGAAAATATTTAGTTCTTGTACTTTCATATATATTCTGGTTTATTCTTCTGCTAGGTTATTGAACCAGTTCCGTTTTCTACTGTATTTTCTAGAACTTCTTGTGGGCTGTGGCATGGCTTCAATCTGATATTAGCCTGTCTACAGTAGTTTACTCGGATTTTCTTGAAATTGAGACAAAGATTAAGGCTGCTAGAGGTACACAATTTACATGTTAATCCTTTTTTTGTTTCCTCTTTCAGTTGCCATATTCATCTTATAGTTGCCTCATGTCGTAGCTTCATGTCTTGAGAAATTACATTATTCTTATTCTAATTCTTTATTTAATATTCTTTAGTCTATGAAAGGTCCAACAAATTATTTTATTACAGTTTTCCCAGTTCCCAAATGCTGATATATTATGCTACGATCTCTCTATCTAAAACATATTACTCCAATTGATTTTTTATTGGCCTTATTGTTCTTTATTTTCATTCTTAAAATAAAAACAAAATTTGTGAAAATATAAGTGTTCATAGTTCAATTCTTTCAGGAAAAAAAAAAAAAAGAAAAGTGTTCATAGTTCACTCGAAGATAGAGTGATAAATTGTGGAATCATTTCCCTATGTTTATTTCTTTCTTTGGAATTTTTTCATAAATTATTTCGTTTAATTAGTTTCTTTGCACCTTTACCTCCAACAATTTAGACTACGGTTGTACCAAACCCTTGATTTGTGACTATGCCTTATGGTGTTTAATTTACTCCATTTTTGCTGTCCTTTTTTATTTATTTATTTTTTTTTACAAACAATTTTTGCTGTTCTTATCCATTATTTATTTTGTGTTTTGGATTCATACAAAATCCTAAATTCCAATTGCTTCTGCTATTCTACTTCAGCTCACTGCTCTTACAATATTTAAAGGCCAAGGAAATCATTTGATTCTTGTAGCCTAGGTTCTGGCTAAGGGGTAAAGGATTACACTGGAACCAGCAATTTCAAATCGAGGTGAGGAGATAATAATATTTCCATAAGTGATCTCTAGAATTGGATTTTGTCAAAGTGCATTAGTAAAGCCCGAGTTTTTTTTCCCATAAGTGATCTCTAGAAATAGCAGAGCGCCACCAGCACAGCACCACAGCAGCCGCAGCAGAACCCAGCAAACACAGCATCCAGCAGCCAAACCAGCCAGCAACACATCACTACAACAGAGCAGCAAACACCAAGCACAGCCTGACCAGAGCAGAACAGAAACACAGCAGCTCAAGAACTCAAACCAGTCACCCAGCCAGCCTGAACATAACAGAGACACAGCCACAGAAGCAAACAGATGCCCAGCCAGCCTGAACAGGACAGAGGCACAGCAGCGCAGCAGAACAGAAACAGCAGCACAGCAAACAGCAGAGCAGCAGGTCAGCCTGAACACATAACAACACAGCAGCTAGCGGGGCAGCCACCAGCACAACAGCCTGAGCAGAAGCAAAACCAATCACCCAGCCTGAACAGAGCAGAAACACAACCACAGAAGCAGAACAGACGCCCAACCAGCCTGAACAGGACAGAGGCACAGCAGCGCAGCAGAACAAAAACAGCAGCTCATCAAACAGCAGAGCAACCTGTCAGCCTGAACACACAATAACACAACAGCCACCAGAGCAGCCACCGGCACAAGACCAGAACAGCTCCTGTTGGAACTCAGACCAGGAATAGGACAGCAACACAGAACAGTAGCCAAACAGAAGAAAAATAACAGTCACTAAAACAGTATGCTGTTCTTGAGCCCTTGCAGCCACTTACAATGCTGTCTTGTCCATTTTTAATGAAAATATGTAACTTTATATATATGTTAGTGTTTATATGTCAATTTAAGTGAAAAAAATGCAAAAAAAAAAAAATTTTATTCTTTTATTTTTATGGGGCATTTTTGGCACCCGTTTTGGAACAGAACCGGTGCTAAAAGTTTTTTTAAACTTTTTTTGGCCACTTTTCGCACCGGTTCAAAGCAAGAACCGGTGCTAAAAGCTTTTTTTTTTAATATTTTTGGGGACTTTTCGCACCGGTTCACATTAAGAACCGGTGCAAAAAATAAGTTTTTGCACCGATTTTGAACCGGTGCGAAAAGTCTTGGGATTTGGCATCCCTCAAATCAGAACCGGTTCAAAACCGGTGCGAAATGGGGGTTTTGAACCGGTGCTGATTAGCAATTTTTGCCTAGTGTTGGGCGCCACTTATGGAGTATAACCTCCTTAGTTTAATTGCTTTTAATACTAGTTAATTGTATGTTTTATTTTCAGTTGTTAGTAGTAATCCTAAGCTTAAATTGCTGTAATAAAGTTGTAACTGAAAAGCCGTTGAAAATAGGGAGAGCTGGGCGTATTTGCAGCGAGTTCCTTAAGGAACTGCTTTAAGGAACTGAGCAATTATTAATCTTCAATGTGTGGCGATTTTCATGGGAACCGTTACACCTAAGGGCTGAATATGGCTAGCGACTTTTGAGTTCCCTTTTATTAAATTAACTAAGTTCACTTAATATAGCTATTTCCTTAAGCTATAAAAGGAAGTCTAGTTTTCCTTGTAAGAACATACCTTATCTTGAATGAAATTTTCTATTTTTGAAATCACTTTGTGTTATTTCTAAAATTTGACTTGTGGATTCAAGTTACTTGAACTCGTGGACTCGAGTTTGTGAGCGTAACTCGGAGTGTTCGGAGTTAGCTTGTTTGTGGTTAGTAGAGTGAGTGTTCAACTCTAACCACACCTATCCCTAGTTAGCCCACTTACGGGAACTAGTTCCTTTTCTCCTTACCCTGTTCCCACTCCAAACAACTAGCCTAAGCACTAAGCCACCTAAACACCTAGCCCAAACACTTAATCCATAACCCGAAACACACAACCCAACCTTAGATTCCGCATCATATATTCATACACACTTAAAATAGGATCACATGCATAACACACAAGAATCACATAATTATACCTTTAAAGTGTGATTCTTACGTTAGGATTAGCTACAAATAAGGGAGAGAATAGAATTCCAAACATTGCTCCTCTACTTAGTCCACGGGATTCGAATGAATCGTCCACCAATGCTATATTTGTCGGATGATGGAGGAAAACACCACGATCACCACATTTGTCGACAATCGGACCACCACGAGACACCACCACCACCGTGCACACCACCGGTGCAAGGAGGAGAGAGGGAGTTTTAGAGGGGTTGGTTTCGTGTTTGCTAATTAGAAGGTTTGATCAACTGATCACTGTATCTTGCAAAACCCTATGCATCTAGTTTATTTATAATCATATTATAACTAGACTAGGAAACAAGCCCAAACCCTCTAAAACTCTCCATATGTCCAGCCTGCTAGAGGGAGAAGGCCTATCATGGGCCTCTTCCACTTATGTTCAATCTAATCCCTTTGTGTGACCTTATAGGATCTGTTCAATTAGGCTTTGGCTTATTTTACTAGCCCAAAGATCATTAGTATCTCTAGCTATGATATAACGACGACCCAAATGAACAAACTTAAGTATCTCCATAATTTGAACCATTTATATACCTAGTAATTGCACTACTTGACAAAGACATAAAACCTTCAGTATGTACTAGGTACATGTAAATATATTAAAAGTATTCAGTTGGGTGGGAGTATTTAAAGGAACTTCTAGTGGCTTTCAAGTTTCCTGAGGTGTTTATCAAGTGGATTTTTAAGTGTGTTACAACACTAGCTTTTTCTCTTATGTTGAATGGCAGCTTGAATGATACTTTTTCCAAGCAAAAAAGGGCATTAGGAAGGGTGACCCCATGTCACCTCTACTCTTTGTGCTAGCCATGGAATATCTTACAAGGCTTCTTAGGATAGTGGGAACTAAGAGGTGGTTTAAGTTTCGTCAGAGATGTGATAGTCTTAAGCTTAATCATCTGGTATTTGTAGATAATTTGATGATTTTCACTAAAGGGGATAGCAAGTCTATCAACCTTGCTATGAAAGCTCTAAATACTTTCTCTAGAGTGTTAGGCTTGTATGCTAATTATGATAAAAAATGTTGTCTATTTGGGGAATGTGCCTGATCAAGTTCAGTCAAAGTTCTCTCTCAGCATGGCTTTGTGAAATGTGTGTTTCCTTTTCAATACTAGGGGGTGCCTTTGAATACTAGAAGGTTAAAAGTGTGTGAATATGATCCTCTCATAGATAAAATCACCAAAAGAATTCATTGTTGGTCTAGCAAGACTCTGTCATATGCTGCTAGGACAGTTTTGGTGAATACAGTGCTGATGAGTCTCCACACTTACTGGCCTCAGGTTATGCTCTTGCTTAAGACTGTGATACTGAGAATTATGCAGCTTTGTAGAGCATTTATTTGGTCTGGTTAGGCCTCTATGTCTGAGAGCCCTCCTATTACTTGGGATTAGGCTTGTAAATCAAAGAACGAGGGGGAGGGTCTAAGTATAAGGGATTGTATTTCTTGGAATACTGCAGCCCGGGGAAATATGTTTAGCAGATTGCACTCAAAGCTGACACTTTATAGGTAAGGTGGTTCATGCTGTATATATTAAAGAAGATAACTGGTTGTAGGTGGGAGTATACAGCTACCACCTCTACAAGTTGGGGCTGGAAAATACTTTGTAAGGTTAACGAGAGGCTGAGAGAAGGATTTATGGAGAATAATTGGGAAAGGGGCAAGTACTCTATTGCAAACTACTATAAGTGGCTGAGAGGAGGTGAGTAGAGTAGATGCCACTGGACTAAATGGGTGTGGAACAAGCTAAATGTTCCTAAACACTCCTTCATCACCTGGAATTCTGTACAAGAGAGATTAGGAACTAGAGTCAAGTTGCACAGGTATGGGATTTGTGATGTGGAGTTATGTTTGTTATGTGGTAATGAGAGTGAGATTGAAAGACATTTTTTTCTTAGATGTGATTACACTAAAGCATGCTTAGCTCTGGTTCTGAAGTGGCTGGGTATTGCAAGCTTTGCTGCAGCTGGTATTTAAAGGGCATGGAAGGGTTGGGGCAAGCTCTTTCAGAGTAGAAAGCAGAAACAGGTGGGGTATGCTGTGTTAGCTACCTTGGTGTATTAGATTTGGCATGTTAGGAATGTGGCATTCTAGCAAAATGTTGTGTTCAGACCTGAGTGGGTGGTTAAGAAGGTCTGTGATGATATTGTTTGGAGAGTTCAGCGTTTGATTGACAAGAAGTGGAATGTAAATGATTGTATATGGTTTTATAGAATTAAAATGGCAGTGTAGCTAGAAGTTTTGTTTTGTTTTCCTCTTAGGGCCAGTTGGGTCCTAAGTTTCAAGGGTATGCCCCGTGGCTCTTGTACAGTTTTTTTCCATCTTAATGTATTTTCTTACTTACCTAAAAAAAATATTTTAAAAGTATTTTTATATGATACTTTGGGTAGATTTGAACATATATATTTTGGGTAGATCTGTAATACAAGGGTGTTACTGATTTATGGATTATATATTAAGTTGAATCATGAGGGGTGTTAGAACGGTCGCACATTCCACACTCATTCAAACACATTTATAAGCAAACACCTAACAAACCAAGCACGATGATAAGTAAGAGTTCGGTCCACAAGGAACGGGGTATAACTGCTAAAGATCTTAACACTCAAGCTAATTCGAAGTCTTTTGTTGAAAGGGGTGTTCGTCAAGTAGACAACAAACTATTTTTCTAAATCAAGTAATTAAAAGCACTAGGGAATGAAATCCATTCAACCATGGCAATTAGGCACATTGGGAGTAAAAGATACAAGAGATAGCAAGGACTATATGTAAAACAAACCTCATGCAATTAGGAAAACAACTCACACTCGTAAAGTTAGATCCATCATTAGTTTAACAATCGGAGATACATAATCAAATTGTAGTAAGTAATGACATACTTAATCTACATTTCCATGTCAAACTAAGCATAACATGCCATTAAGCTCCAAATTCAAGGGTAGCTACTCCTATCATGAAGAACTAACAAGCAACTCCCAAGTTTACTTAATTAACCATTAGGTTGAGTTTCATCCAACCCTAGCAAAGAGGACTACTCACAACTCATTTTAAGTGACATGCAAACCAAGATTAGGGTTCTAACTAGTTCAATAATTGGGGGAAAGTGATTCACTATGGATAAAATTAACATGCAACAACAATTTCTCAAGATCAAGAGAGATTCAAGTGACTTGCAATAACAAAATAAAATCAGCAAATAAGTAGAGACAAGTGAAAGAAGTTACTAATTGAAGCTTCAAATGTTGAGTACAAATGCTGAAATTGCGAGAATAATCTTTGAAACTTGCTTCTACAATGATTAATTTGAGAATTTCTAAACTAAAACTACCAAAGATGATTGTTGCTAACTAAGAGAAAG